TATTTTACTAATTGTGAAACACTGGAATTAATGATGCAGACAACTTAGTGTGGTCTTTGAACAGCTTTCTGCAGTATTTTTTCCTGTTACCATATATTGTATTTAAGTGCTTGCCCTCCACTGCTTTTAATTTGTACCAATAAAACTGGTAACCCTCAGACCTACCTTTCCATTTGAGACTCCTTAGTTTAGACTGATGTAGTAGTTTTCATTCTCCCTGTAATGTGACTTTTATTTTTAAGTCATGGTGTACTGCATTTGTCTGTCACTAGCTGGGCATGTGCCAATAATATTCTGTCCATTCCTTAACTGCCATCTCTGTTTTGCCTGATTTCAACTGAATAATGGCTTTTTGCATGGAAAAAAGAATAGTTTTTACTATTAGACTTGTAAAGGGAAGAGAGAGTGAATGTATTAGACTTTGTAAGCCTAAAAGGAATATTTGGATCCCTCTAATAAATAAGGGCTATGTATTATATAGAGTTAATCATGTGGTGGAAGATACTGCAAGTCATAGTTTTGTAGGCAAAAGGATCTGTTACTCCCTGTATCTAGGCTGAATGTAAAATCCCTTATGTTGTATTAATGGGGGTAAGAATTATTTTTATTTGCTTATGATATATATACTTGGTTTCTAATAAAGTGTCCTAGGCTCTAGTGAGAACTGTTGACTTTGAATTGCCATCTACTCCCTTTCCTCAATTGACCTACATGCCCTTGGCTAGCTTTTTAGAGGTCAGTGTTTTACTGGAAAATCTCACTACTTTGTGTTCCTTTGGGTGTGATCCTAAAATGCCTGAATCAAGAGTTCATCTAGTGTACCCCCAGCATCAGCTTCTATTCCATCTGGATGTCTGGAACTATTGGAAGATTTGACTACTTTAAAAGTTGAGTTTTACTTTTGAAATAGGGTTCAAGATATTGTTTATTGCATTAAGATTTGTGTGTTTTTGTGTTCTCAGCCCAGCACAGGTTTTGGAAAATGCTGATAATGTGAAAGAAAATCAGGACTCTTTCTGAGCCTCTGTCATTGTCAGAATGGCTTTCCATCAGCATTCAGATAATTATGTATCAAGTCGAAGAGATTTTAACAGCAAGAATCTAGATTTTTAAATGTAATTGTTTTTTAAATGCTAATGTTTGTAAAGCACTTTCAGTTCTTTGGGTGAAAGGTGCTGTATTCCCTCAGTGTAAATTAATAAAAGTATTATAGGAAATTTGTCAAAATAATTTTATCTAATGCATAGTCTGTAGTATATCCTGACAGAAAGTTAGTGTTTTATATAACATAATTTAAGTTAAAAAGGCTTATTCCTTCTCTTGGTTGCTTGACTGATAAACAGAAGTGAAATTGTTGTTCTGCAGTTGGTTCTGGGCTGTGTTCTGTTCCATGGAAATATATTTATTGTTACAACCTGGATGCAGTGCCCAGAACCATGCTTCATGAGATCATCACAACTCTTTCAATTGTGTGTTTGCTAAGGAAATACACAGAAGTAGAAAAGAACCAAAAGAGACGCTTGGAAATTCCCCTAGCATGATGCTAAACATACTAGATGCTTCAGGAAGTTTGGTTACTTATTCCCCATTTTTAAATTTTATGTTTCTTTGTTAATCAGTTGATGAATGTGTACCTTTCTTCCCTGCATGAGAAGAAAGCTTTCATGTTGACTTAGATCATTCAAATGTTTTCTTGATTCAAAAATGCACGAAAAATTTATAGCAGATTTGTGTGTGTCAACAAAAGTATTTCTTACATAGTATAAATACCTGGGTACCCACTATGGTCCTCAGCACTCTGATTTTTCTATATAAATGGGAATGGTATAAAAGATACCTGTATTGTGCACACTTAGCTAAATGCTATAGATGCCCTATTTTATGGTACCCTTATTATGGGGTCTGTCACTATGTTACCTCTCTTTTGTTTTCACCAGATAAGGAAATAGGCTTAGAGAGGACGGGAAACTTGTCCAAGGTTGCCCAGGAGAGCTGGAACTTGAATGCCTGTAGGGCACACCAGAATACATCGTAAGCCTTCTATTTTAATCAGTATTGGTTTTTGTAGCTATGTGACCCTGAGCAAATTGGATTCTCTGAATCTTAAATTTCTGTGTCTAAAATAGGAGAGTACCATACAAGGTTGATCTCAGTATTAGAAATAGCACAGTAGCTGGGCATAGTGGCATCCTATAATCCCAGCAACTCTGGAGGCTGAGGCAGGAGGATCGACAGTTTGCGGCTAGCCTCAGCAATTTAGTGAGACCCTATCTCAAAAAAGGATAGGATGTAGATCAGTGTTAAAGTAACCTTTGGCTCAGAACCTGGCCCTAAAGATGCCAGTATTGAGGAATCACACCTTGCCCCAAATCAGTGTGGTTTCGGAGATATGAAACAATGGCTAACAGCCGAGCTTTGTAAGTAAAACCAATTTGGAGAAGGAAATGTTTGCTATAGGATGGAGTGATTAGAGGAATAGTTAAAAAGAGGAAGTGTGAAATGTTGACTGGAATGGTGGGATATACATGTTTTACAACATAAAAGGACTGAAGTAGAGATTGCCAGAACTTGGGCACAACATGAAGGTAAGACTTGAGGGTACTTCGGAAGGAATAAGAAGAGCTGCAGTTCTGTTGACACTGTCTATTACTTATCAGAGAGGGCTGGCCAATCATGGAAGACTGGCTAATCATGGAAGAAAAGTAGGCAGAGGATTTTAGTCACTATTTATATATACAAGTTTTTCATTTTTTATATGTGGCGCTGAGAATCCAACCCAGTGCCTCACACATGCTAGGCAAGCTCACTACCACTGAGCCACAACCCCAGCCCCTTAGTCAATATTTTTATAAGAAACAGAATAGTGAGGGCAGGGGTTGTGGCTCAGTGGTAGAGTGCTTGCTTAGCATGCATGAGACATTGGGTTTGATCCCTGGCACCACATAAAAAACAAAGGTATTGTGTCTACCTGCAGTTAAAAAAAATATTTAAAAAAAAGAAACTGAATAGTGACATTTCAATATTATTTCTCTAGTGAGTTGATGATCCTCATCAGGACCCCTTTAATCCCTCCTCCCTTCTTGACTGAAATTATTTTGGAATTATTACCACTTTCTGTATTTAAAATTTTCAAGTTTATTTTTTGGTACTAGGGATTGAATCCAGGGGTGCTTAACCACTGAGCAATATCCCCAGCCCTTTTTATTTTTCCTTTTGAGACAGGGTCTCACTGAATTGCCAAGGCTGGGCTCAAACTTGGCATCCTCCTGCCTCAGCCTCCTGAGTTGCTGGGATTATAGTTGTGTGCCACCATGCCTGGCACCTTTCTGGATTTATAATATGGGTGGAACAGGATTGAGGTGATTTGTAGGAATTACATAAAATACGTGGGGGAACATTAGGGTTTTAATAACTTTTTTTTTCCCCAGTCAAATCTATTTTCAAAATTCTCAAGAGGGCTGGGAGTATAGGTAGCTCAGATGTAGAGCGCTTGTCTATCATGCGAGGCCCTGGGTTCAATCCCCAAAATAAAAAATAACCAGTACAGTTTACTATCACTGTTACTTCATTAAATAAATAAATAAATAAATAAATAAATAAATGGCAATTTTAACATCAAGGATGTAAAAGAAAAAATCTAAAAATAAAGAACACGGGCTGGAGTTGTTCTCAGTAGTACAGTGCTTGCCTAGCATATATGAGGAACTGGGTTCGATTCTCAGCACTGCATATAAATAAAATAAAGGTCCATTGACAACTAAAAAATATATTCACATAAAGAAAATAAAAAACAGTCATTTACACCAAATACATTTTGGTTTTGTGAAAAACTAGTATCCTAATTCTTCCCATTTAGGAATATCAGAGAGAAATTTGTCCATCACTCATTGGTGCACGCTGGTGTTACAGGCTGCCACGTTATTGATCATAAATAAAATAGAAGGAGCTTAAGAGAAAGTTTTATGCCTCTTCCCAACCCCAAACAGATAAGATGCACAAACAACAGCTGTACACAGCAATAGAGAGGTGTGAGGTGTGCCTTATTTTCAAGGATGGCCTTGTCAGTAGAAGAGGAAAGGTAATATTTATCGGGCTTACTTGTTGGTAGTTTTGCATGCTTAGGTTAAAAAAAAATGCAGTAAAATTTATTTTAAAATTGATTAACTGGTGTAGAACTTAATCATCTACAGTATCACAGAATGGCTAGTTCACACTCCGGAATCAATTCTGTTTAGGCCTTTCAAAATGGAACATATTCCTTTTAGTTATAGCATTGATTCCGTTTGCAGGATTTATTTTTCTTTGACGATAATTAAAAAAACAACAATTCCTTTCTTAAGAGCCTGCACCCAACCTTGTGATCTTTCCTGAAGAGGACTGAGCAATGCTGTGTTTTGGTGGATTCTTAAAATTTTGTGACTAGATCCTCTATGAGGGATAGCACCGAGCTGAGACCATTTCCGCAAGATGTAGACAGGGACTGCATTCGAGATGGTTCAAAAGGATGCTAATTTGGGAGAGTTGCGTCTCTGTCGCACTTGAGGGAGGTATTTGGAGAAATTACAGCCCTTGACTTTTGGTTCCGGAGCTGGGGGGGATGCGGGGTGGGGTGATGTGCTGGTGGATGCCAGCAGGTGTCTGGAGTGTCAGATGCGGAGCCAAGAGAACCTGCGGGCAGGTGTCTGGCGCCGGAGTTGCAGTTTCCATGTCCCGGCGCACGGTGGCGCTTAGGTCTCCTCTGGCCCTGCCAGAAGTCTCTAAGGCACCTCCGCCGCCACCTGCAGTCTCAACCAAACCTCTGGGTGGGCAGCGCGGGATTTGACGGCCCGAACGCCCAATCGACGGCCAGGCTTTCGGCCACACTGCGGATGCAGCCAATGGCATCCGAAGAGACGCGCGGGGAGGCGGGCCCCGCGGCAAGCCTGGCAGAGGCGCGAGGCCCTCCTCCCGCCTCTCCGCCTACTCCATCCTCCGCCGCCTCAGCTTCCCCAGCGAGCCCTGCGGCCACCGGAGCAGCTCCCGCGGCGGAGCAGGAGCCGGATGGTCAGAGGAGCCCGGCAGCCCCAGCAGCCGCGGAGTCGCCTGGCCCCCAGGTGGGGCGTGGGCTGGGTGCAGGCCGGGCTCGGGGGTGGGGCGGGGGCGAGGAAGCGGGCCCAGGGGCAGCGGCTGGGGCCGCCGAGCTTTGGGGGCGCCTAGGCTGGAGGGGCGGGGGTGCAGGCTGGGGACGTCTGGGGGGCGCCCAGGGACCGTGGCGGTCGCATGCTGCGGGCGGGTGAGAGCGACGTGAGGGGGAGGGGGCGCCGAGGCTGGGGGCGCTGGGCCGGGAGGAGCAGGGCGCGCGCCCCGCGGAGGGGCGGTGGAATGCGGGGGGCGCTCGGCCTGGAGGGGCGGGGCTCTGAAGGTCCGAGCGCGGCCGGGAGGGGGTGGGCACGGGGAAGGGAAGGATGGGAGGGGGCTTGCGGGGTTGACTAGGCAGACAATGAGTAGGTAGGTGAAGGTGGGTGGTTTGGGGGAGCCAGATTGTGACGAATGAGACTGAGGATGGGCTGAGGGATCAGGAGGCAGAGCAGGGCTTGGGCTAAGGGGGTTATTGGGAGAACATCGAGTCCCGGGATTGCTTGGTGTTGGTGAATAGGGGAAACGAGGCTTAGGTGTTTGTAAGGACAGGTATGGGGATGGCATGAGGTCCCAGAGGGTGGTCATTGAGTTATTGACTGGCACAGTAGAGCCTGGCAATATGTTGTATGTTAACTTTTAGTTACCGTCTTATTTGTTTGGTCTGTAGACTGACTGGCACAGTGGAGAAACCACCTCGAAAACGGAAAAGCAGGTAAGGCCAATAAACGCCTTACTCTTTTGCTTCGTGTTCGTGTTTTTCTATTTGCCTGATTGCACCTGTGCCATACTGCATAATTGTACATGGTCAGGAGATGAAATTGCCTATTTAGCTCACTTTTTTAGTGAATATAACTACATGCAAGGTTTTCCTTTCAAATTACTACCTCTACTTTTTTTTTTAAATTTAAGATAATGTGGGAAACATAAAAAATTGAGAGATCCCTAGTTTTTTTCTTTAGTTATAATTTCAACTTCTCTACCATCTCTGAAAAGCACACAGCTGCTGTAGTGCTTTATCACCTGTAATCCATGAGGAGACCCAAGATAGTACATAGATACTGTCATCAGTATTGTCATCATTGTTTTGCAGAATAAGGAATTAAGTCACAGGCCAAGTATATACCCAAGATCATACATCTGTCTAATAAATGGTAAAATGAGGATTTGAATCTGGGCAGTCTGATTGCAGAGCTTAAACTCTTTAACTGTTAACCATTATACTATAATGCTTCTAATACACATTTATAAATACATTTTCTTATTGATTTCTTTCTCATCATATGTAGAATACAAATAATAGAAATGGTTGATCCTTAGGAAAATAGAAAGTAACAAGGAGGGCATAAGTAGGCCACAGACATGTGAATTATTCCTTAAGTAATGGAGAATATTCATTCCACAGATATTTTTGAGTGCATTCTGTGTGTCAGGTACCACACAGTAATTCTGTGGAGTCATTAGAAGCTTCATTTTGTCAATATGTTGCTAAAAAAAAAAAAAAAAAAGTAAGCTACAGTAGTGATGATGTGACCAGGACTATTAACTATTAACTAATTCTTAGTTAATACCTGCCAAGTTATTGGTTAGAAATCTTCAATGTTAGGTAGATATAAAATGCTCATAGTGGAAGTACTGGTAGCCAAAGTACCTTTGCTATTCTTTAGGCCTGTATGCTCAATATGATAGTCACATGCAGCTACTGAGCACTGAAATGTGAGTAGCATGTCTGAGGAACCAAATTTTTAATTTAATAATTAGAATTAATTTAAATTTACAGACTGACCACTTATTGGAAATTAAGTAGTCTTAGAGCTCCTTGGGTATGTGAAGCTATTCTATCATTTGTAAATTTTATGAAGTCTAAATCCTATCAAATATTTCCAGTGAAAATCTAGTGCCTGAGCCAGATGCAGTGGAACACGCATCTGATCACAGCTACCGGGAAGGCTGAGACAGGACGATTGAAAGTTCAAGGCCAGCCTGGGCTGTTTAGTAAGATAGTGTCTCAAATAAAAAAGTATATAGTTCAGTGGCAGAACACTTCCTAGCATGAGGCCCTGGGTTCAATCCCCAGTATGAGGTGGAGGGGGGTATAGCAGGAAAAAAAGAAAATTTAGTGTCCAAAATGAGATAAATATAAAATATATACTAGATTTCAAGTTTGTACCCCCCCCCCAAAAAAAGTAAAATTTCTTAGTCCAAATTTGAATGGTTATTTAGAGACATATAATCTGATATATTAGGTATATCAGATTCAATAAATTGTAATATCAATGAAATAATTTTCACTTATTTCTTTTTACTTTTTTTTCATGGCAGCCACTAGGAAATTAAAAAAAAAAAATTGCACATATGGTTTGCATTGTATTTCTTTTGGACAGGCCCGGTTTAACCCCACTGCCAGCCTCTTATAGTAGCTTTCTATCTGGTTTCCCTACTTTTCAATCAGTAATTTATTCACCATTCTGTATAAGTCAATCATGTATTTCTCATTCTTTGGTATCTTCTGAGGTTCCCTATTGCTATTGAACATAATTCAGACTTAATTTTAGCCTAATTATAATAAATTACTGAACATAATTTTAGCCTTATTAAAGGGCTGACTTTATTTTACTTCCACCTACCTTTCTAGCCATAGGTTAGTACTGAGGCCATAGAAATTCTCGGTAATGAATATATTAACTATCTACTCTTAAATGCTTTTACTTTCTGATGAACCCTTAAGATGAATGAATTGCTGAATGCAGGTTCTGTGTGCTTTTTCCAGAACTTATGTTCTCTCTGCTTTGGGTATTTGTACATGATTCCTTTCTTTGTGGAATAGTTTCTCCTTGCTCTTTGATAAGCTCTTTCCTTTAGTACTTGGCTCACACTTCACTTTCTCAATGAGGGCTTTCCCCATTTTCTCCCTTTCCTTCCTCTGCTCTTAATTCCCTCCAGTGATATCCTGTATGTACATTTATTTGTAATGGTCTTGCCATTACACATGAATTTGAATCCACCTGTCAAGTACAAGTTGTAATCATATGTAAGTTGTAAACCCTCTGATTCTCAGGTTCCTCAGCTATATAATGGAAATAATAATAGTTCAACCCTTCTAGGACTGTAAAGTGTCTAGACTAGTGCCTGGCACATAGAAATTTCTATACACGATAAATTTTGCGTTGAAAAGCAATGATCAAGCCAAACACCATGGATGACACCTGTAATCCCAGATACTCAGAAGGATTTCAAATTCCAGGCCTGCTGATCAACACAACCCTGTCTAGAAAAAAAGCACATTTCAAATACAATTTTCCTTTCCCTCCCTTTCTCTCTCTCTCTCTCTCTCTCTCTCTTTTTGGTAGTACTGGGGATTGGACCTAGGGCCTTATATGTGTGAGGCAGGCAGTATATCACTGAACTATACCCCCAGTCCTTTTTTATTTTGAGACAGGGTCTTTCTAAGTTTCCCCGGCTGCCTTCAAACTTCAGTTATCCCATCTCAGCCTCCTGAGTAGCTAGGACTATAGGTATGTACCACCATGCTCAGTTTCAAATACCTTTTCTCACCTCTCTTTAAAATCTGTACATTCTAGAGGATTACAAATAGATTACAACAAAGAAGAAATGAGAGAAGAATAAAATTAAAGCAGAGGCAAAATTAGTATACATGTCAGAAAGTACTCTATAATTACCAAATGTAGATTCCATTATCTACCTCTGAATTTCCTGGAGCAAAGGGAAGAATTAAATAAAGCTCATTTTTCAGATTCATGGTGTCTATAAAATCAAATGTATATTCAAAAGAAGCACAACTTTTGCGGGGGGTGAGTACTGGGGATTGAACTCAGGGGCACTTGAACACTGAGTTACATCCTCAGCCCTATTTTGTATTTAATTTAAAGACAGGGTCTCACTGAGATGCTTGGTGCCTCCCTTTTTGCTGAGGTTGGCTTTGAACTTGTGATCCTCATGTCTCAGCCTCCTGAGCTGCTGGGATTACAGGCATGTATCCCTGTGCCTGGCACAACTTTAAAAAAAATGTGTATATGTGTGTGTACACACACACACACGTATATATTTTTAGTTGTTAATGTGCCTTTATTTTATTTGTTTTTATGTGGTGTTAAGGATTGAACCCAGTACCTCACACATGCTAGGCAAGCACTCTACCACTGAGCAGCAGCCCCAGCCCCACAACTTTTTTGTTTGACTGTTAAACCTGAGACACATTCTTCTTAGGGGTCTTCATATTGGGGACACTGATTTTGTGGGGAAACAATTCCAATGATAAACATAATAGTGGGGTTTTTGTGTTTTAAAAATTTTTTTTTTTGGTCATGCTGAGGATCAAACCCAGGGCTTTATGAGTGCTAGGCAAGTGCTCTGCCACTGAGGTTTTAAAGATTGCTTCTCTGAATGCATCTCAGTCCTAGTTGGGGTACTGCCAGTGAACAGTCTGAAAAGGCACCCCATGCCCTATTATTATTATTTCCTTGAAAAAAAAATTTTTTTTTCAGTGCTGTGAATTGAACTGAGGGCCTCATGCAAGCATGGTACCAGTGAGCCACATCCTAGCTGTCCTTGAAACCTTTATTTCCTTGTCTTGGTTCATCTTTGTACCTAGTATTGTTTTGGTCCTAGTAGAAATCATACATTCTTAGCTTTGTGCTGCGTGTGCCAGTAATCCCAATGATTTGGGAGGTTGAAGCTGAGGCTGGAGTTTCACAGTTTTGATGCCAGTGTCTGCAACTTAATGAGACCCTATCTCAAAAATTAAAAAAAAAAAAGAGAGACCAGTGTAGTGTCACTCACCTGTAAACCCAGTGGCTGAGGTAGAGGGATTGTGAGTTCAAAGCCAACCACAGCAATTTAGTGAGGCCCTCAGCAACTCAGTAAGACCCTGTCTAAACAAAATACAAAAAAGAGCTGGAATGTGACTTACTGATTGAGTGTCCCTGGGTTCACTCAAAATTAAATAAAAATTTAAAAATGTGCCAGGGATATAGCTCAGAGTTAGAGCACCTCTGGGTTCATTTCCCAGCAACATAAGAACAACCACAACAACACACACACAAACACACATACATACACATATTCTTTGTGCTTAGCTCAGTAAAACTAGTTAGCCATCTGGGTATTGTGAGACACACCTGTAATTCCAGTAACCCAGGAGGGTAAGGTAGAAGGATCACTAGTTTGAGACCAGGCTCAGCAACTCAGGTCCTCAGCAATGTAGTGAAACCCTGTCTCAAAAAATAAAGGTTGGGTATGGTGGCGCATGCCTGTAATCCCAATGGCTCTGGAGGCTGAGACAGGAGGATCATGAGTTCAAAGCCTCAGCAAAAGTGAGGTGCTAAGCAACTCAGTGAGACCCTTTCTCTAAATAAAATATAAAATAGGGCTGGGGATGTGGCTCAGTGGTTGAATCTCCTGAGTTCAATCCCTGGTAACACCCCTGTCCCCCCTCAAAAAAAATTAAAAAGGGCTGGGAATGTACCTCTGTAGTAAAAGTTCCCCTGGGTTAAATCCCCAGACCAAAAACAACAACAAACTAGTGAGCTAATAAATGAATTTGTGGCAAGAGGAATTAGTGTGGGATGGGGCCTTGGCAGTCCAAAATTCTGTCCTAGTATTGAATGCTGAATAGATTAACAGGAGTATTAAGGTTAGGAAGGTAGTTTTCCATGTGGTATTAGAAATTTCTGAAGAGTTCAATATAGTCTGCTAGTAATGTTTGGATTATGAGTTAGAGAATTCTTTCATGTCCTCTTTGAAACGAGACCCATTTGTTTGATTAAAGCTTATCTGATGCACTAGGCCCTGGTTTCTTTTCCCTTGAACTTGGGTTCCTCCTGCCTCAACCCCCCAAGTTGCTGGGATTACTACCACATACCTGGCTTTCTTTTCTTTCTTTTTGGTTATATATTTAAAATCAATGGGATCCAGGCATTTTGATGATAGATGTAATTTATTGAAGAAACATCTGCACCAGGCAAAGTGGCACGTATCTGTAATCTCAGCTGCTCAAGAGGTTGAAGCAGAAGCAACTCTTTTGAGTCCAGCTTTGGTAATTTAGCAAGATGCTGCCTAAAAATTTTAAAACATGATTGGGAATGTAGCTTGGTAGTAGGGCACTTGCCTAGCATTTGTGAGCCCTGGATTCAATTCCTAGTACCTCCATGCTGCACATGCTTGGGGACAGTAGACGTACATGAGTGAAATTTGGGGAAAAACTCATTTATTAATAGTGAAAACAGACATGAAATGTGAAACAGTGTAATGACTTTGTTTATATACCAAGGTTTATACAGTGTTTATAAAGGGTTTGTAGTAATTCTGCATAACTGGTAGTGAGGGCAGTTTCAAAAAAATATTAATCTAGGTCCTGAAGAGTTAGAAGGTTAATTCTGGTGATAGTGTGTTCAAATGATGGAGACAAGGCCTGGTTATAGACTGACTATGCATCTTAGGTGAGCTGCACTGAACCAGGGGTATTTGAAGAAAGATTTGAAGAAGTGTGGTGTCAACCAAGCAGGGGTTCTCAACTAAAGGAGCTTTTACCCCTTAAGGGGTGTTTGACATTAGAGGCATTTGGGGCCTCTGCTGGTTAGAGGAATGCTGCTGAATGCCTACAATGCACAGGACAGCCTCCAAGTCCCAGAACTACCCAGCTCAAAATGTCGTTGGTGCTGAAGTTGAGCAATCCTGATCTAGAGTCTGAATCTCAGTGCTCCCAAATACTAACTTTGGGCTCTTGGACCAAGTATCTAACCTCTGAACCTATTTGTTTTTTAGCAAAATGAAGATAGTCGTAGCATCTCTGTGGTAGATTATTATTCTCCTTTAAATATACACTCCAGGTGCAGAGAGCTGTGTCTGTTTTCTTTACTGTAGCATTCCCAGCTTTCACACAAGATAGGTACTCGACCACTCTTGGCTGGATGATTCAGTGAACTAATGTGTGCCAAGTGCATGGTGTAATTACCTGACACACAGGAGAGACTCAGTAAGCCATGACTGTGACCATCATTCATTTAAATATTTTTATTTTGCTTTTTCTTCAGTTTTTGAAAAAAAATCAGCTTTACTGAGGTATTTACACATGATAAAGTTCCCCACTTTTAAGTTCACAGTTGAGTGAGTTTTGACAGATGTGTGTGGTTGTGTGACTGTCCACTGCTATCATGACGTAGAACATGAGCCACAATCCCAACCCACATGTTTAAATTGTAAAGTAGTTGCTAAATTGTTTTTCAAAGTTATGTTCCCACCAGCAATGTGTGAGAGTCCCTTTCTTTAATGTCTTCACCAATATTTGGTATTGTTAATTTTTCTTCTTTTGGGGGGGTACCAGGGATTGAACTCACGGGTACTCAACCACTGAGCCACATCGCCAGCCCTATTTTGTATTTTATTTAGAGACAGGGTCTCACTGAGTTGCTTAGAGCCTTGCCATTGCTGAGGCTGGCTTTGAACTTGTGATCCTCCTGCCTCAGCCTCTCGAGCCACTGGGATTACAGGCGTGCACCATGCCTGACATATTTTTTCCTTTTTACAGAGCTTTATTTTGGAATAATTGGAATATAATAAGATGCATACTTTTAAAGTGTACAATTTGATAAATTTTGAACCCTTGATACCATCACCATTATTTTCCATTCTGTGGTTGTATAGTGGTGCATATCATTGTGGTTTTAATTTCCTTTTTCCTTGATGACTAATGATGTTCAGTATCTTTGCATGGGCTAATTTTCCATTCATATAACCTTCTGTGAAACATCCAAGTCTTTTGCCCATGTTTTATCAGTTTTTTTTTTTTTTTGTCTTCCTTATTGGTCAAAAGTGTTTTCTGTGTATTCTGGAAACAATTTTAAAATCAGGTATATATTTTACAGTTATTTTCTCCCATCTATAGCTTGTTCGCCTTTTAATTTTTTTTCACAGTATATTGAGGAGTTTTTAGCTTGAAGAATAGGTTGAGGGCTGGGGTTGTGGCTCAGCAGTAGAGCGCTTGCCTAGCATGTGTGAGGCACTGGGTTCGATCCTCAGCACCACATAAAAATAAATAAATAAAGGTATTGTGTCCATCTATAACTAAAAAAAGAAAAATTAAAAAGAAATAGGTTTGAGGGCTGGGATTGTGGCTTAGTGGATAAAACAAAGGTATTGTGTGCAACTACAACTAAAAAAAATAAATAGGTTGAATGGGAATGCTTTGAATTGAGGCAGCAGATGTAGAGCAAGAACAAGTTTGGGGGGGTGAATATGAATTTATTTGGGCTATCTTGAGTGAAGAGTGTGTCAGTGAACCATCTCTATCCAGGCAGGTAAAAATAGGAGCCTTTTGCCCAGAAGAAGTCATCAGCAAACACTTGGTGATCCAAGTTATGAAAATGAACCAAATAACCTGGAGAGGGCATGTTGAGTGAAATATAAAGAAACAGAATGTTGTAGTAACATTGTGTGGAAATAGCTGGGTGTGTTTGCACACGCCTGTAATCCCAGCAGCTCGGGAGGCTGAAGTAGGAGGATCACAAGTTTGAGGCCAGTTTCAGCAAGTTAGTGAGGCCCTAAGCAACTTAGTGAGACCCTGTATCAAAAAATGAAAGGGGCTGGGGATGTAGCTCAGTGGCACAGTGCCCCTGCATTCAATTCCGTTTTGTACCAAAACAGTAACTCTGTGGAAATAGAACAAACTGTTTTCTCTTTCTCTGCAGTATTATCTCTCTGCAGGGTCTTTGTGCTGGAAATTGACCTTAGGGCTAGACGGGTAGTGTAATCTCTAGGAGATAGATCTCTGTGCTCTGTTAGGAAACTGAGATTCTGGAGGGACTTAAATGGAAAATTGGGAGAATGTTTTTAAGCATACACTAAAACACAGGACTCTCCTCTGCTTCTTTGTGCTAGAGTGCGCCTCGGCAGCATCCCTGCAGCCAATGCAGTGGTTTTGTTGGAGCTGTTTCTTGTAGTATATGTTAGTGAAAACCTAGGGCATGGTGCCAGATTCAGTTCTGTGAAAGCGTATTCTGCAGAAGCCAAGATGGCATGGTCAGTATGTAGCATTTTCATGGCAATATTTAAGAATGAAACCTAGAAAAGTCAAGCAGTGATGTCACAGATGTTCAAGGTCTCCCTAGAGGGTGGAGTGCCCCAATAGCCAGAAGGTTAAGCAAGCTAGTGCCCAAGGCTTCACTTCCACTTTTATGTAAGTGTAGGTGTAAATTTCAAGTAGAGAATACTACCTGCATGAACCTGAATTGTTCTTCATCCAGCTGTAGTAACTGTGGCCTTAATCCTATTTCATCTTTACACTCCCTGTTTCACCTGAAGCATATTCCATACATTACCTTATTCATCTGTAAAGATTTCAGCATTTATTGTTGAAAGGTAAGAAATCTTTTATTTAAATTTTTTTTTTTTGGGTGGTACTGTGGTTTAACCTAGAGGAGCTGTACCAATGAACTACATACCCAGTCCTTTTTTTTTTTTTTTTTTAATTGTAGATGGACACAATACCTTTATTTATTTATTTATTTATTTATTTATATCTGGTGTTGAGGATCAAACCTAGTGCCTCATGTGTGCTAGGCAAGCACTCTATTGCTGAGCCACAGCCCAAGGCCCCTGGCCAGTTTTAAAAAATATTTTTGTTCAAACAGGATCCAGATAATGTTGGTAATTTAAAATTAGTTGATTAGGTATTAAGCCTTTTTTTTTCTTTTTTAGTTACTGAGGATTGAACCCGGGGCCTTGTGCATGCTAGGCAAGTGTTCTGCTCCACCACTGACCCATGTCCCCAGCCTTTTATTAAGCTTTTTAAAAAAACATTTATTTTTTAGTTGTATTTGGACACAATACCTTTATTTTAAGTGGTGCTGAGGATCAAACCCAGGGCCTCTCACGTGCTAGGTGACCGCTCTTCCTTTGAGCCACAACCCCAGCCCTAAACCTTTATAAATCTACAGGATTTCCAGTCCTCTTTTTCTGTTTGTTTAAGAGAGCATGTTTGTTATTAAGAATGTCCCACAGTCTGAATTTTTAATTTTTTAAAAAGTTGAAGTATAATTTACACTTGATAAATTCAACTATTTTAACATGTAGACCTGTAAATGTTAACAAATGCAGTTGCATAAGTACAACTGTAATTATAGTATAGAGCAGTTCCATCTCTCTCCAAAATTCCCTCTGTCCCCCTGACCACTTGGCGAGTACTAACCAGTTTTTCTAGTTTGAATCTTATAGACCTTATTCCCAGGGGATCATTTAGCATGTTTTTCTGTATTTCCTTTGTGTCTTATAAACTGTTGGTTAGAGCTAGTTCTACAGACTTGATGAAATTCAAATTTTTTTTTTTTTTTGGAAAGAATATATCATAGGAGTGGTGTGCACCTCAATTAAGACTCTTTTATTTTTTCATAGTAGGAATATATAGTGTCTAGACTTATTTCATTTGGCGTTGCAGATGGGGATCATCTAATTCTTTCATTCCTTCTTCATTATTATCTGGAATACTTTCTAGAAAAATACATTTTTCTTGTTAACTTAATTTTTTAAAAAATTTCATTATTTATTTTTTTGGTGCTGGAGATTGAACCCATGGCCTTTCACATGCAAAGCAGGTGCTCTTGTGATCCTCCTCCTTCAGCCTCCCGAGTTGCTGGGATTGCAGGTGTGTGCACTCATAGCTGGCAAAAAATCTTAATATTTTGATGGAATAGTTTTTTGAAGCTTACTTTGAAACCCCCAAAATTCCTTGTTTGTAAAATATATCCCTAGTTTAGTACGTTAATTGACCATATATATAACAAGCAGAAATCTTAGTTTAAAAATTCAGGTAACCAGGAAATGTACAATATTTTATTTCCTTTAAGTGAAATTAAATCCAATCCCATTCTCTCCAACTCCCCAATTCCAGCAAACTGATGAGAAATTCAGTCTCAGTGATTAATAATGGGCAACCACTTCTCCTTAGGAATCTGAGAGGCTTAGGAGGAGCCAGGAGAAGGGTAGAAGATGAGTGTTCAGTCCATTTGGCTGTGTCCAGTAAGTATGTCATCTAAGAAGATGTGAGTCTTTGTACTTTGGTGCTTGATGGTTGTGGCCACCCTCAGGTGTGAGATCCGTGGGATTCTGGAGTCTGGGTTTCGGCTTTCCTTAGTACAGCATGTGCCCATTTTCCTGGAAGGATTTGCCTTGTATCTACAGCACTGCCTGGAAATGAGGTTGCAAGGCCCCTTCTTTGAAGGGTCCCTAAGATTTTCTTCCCTTTCCAGTTAAATCACTCCCTTTTCCTTCTTGTTTCTACCTTTCTCCCCTCAAAGACACTCATCCTTCCACCCTTTCCTCAGCATACTCCTCAAGGAGATCACATTTTCAGAAAACAAACATAAACCTCCCTTGAGGAAGCAAATAGGAGGACTCTTGGGGACTGGGGACTACAATGAGAATAAACACCCACTGATGCCTCCATAACTTATCCAGTGACCTTCTTCCCCCTCCTTAATTCTTTGGGTCTCTGGTGGTGATTTTTTTAAGATCTATACATAAATTCTTTGATTTTACTTTCTTTAAAAAGTGAAGCTTAATTCTCCCCTTGAATGTGGACTGACTTGGTGACTTCTAGAGAATACGACACAGCAGAGCTATGAGACGCACTTCCTAGTTTGGAGTTTAAAAAAAAAAAAGATTGTTTTCCACCTTGAGGTCCCCCTCCCCCTTCTCTTTCTCTGTCTCTCTCTTCATTTGCATTCCCTCCCTCCCTCCGTGTGTGTGTGTGTGTGTGTGTGTGTGTGTGTGTGTGTGTGTGTGTCTCTCTCTCTCTCTCTCTCTCTCTCTCTTTCTCCACTCTCAACTTGCTCTGGGGAAGGCCCACTACCATTATGTGAAGCAGCTCTGGAGAGGAGGAAACCAGGCACCCAGGGGAGGGCCATGTGGTGAGGAAGTGAGGCCTGCCAACAGCCACAAGAGTGAGCGTGGATCTTCTGCAGTTTGCTGGCAGCCCTGTGAGTGGCTCACACCAGCAAACTTGGAAGGGGATCCCCTTAATCTGGTTGAGCCTGGAGATGTCTGTAGTTCTGGCCAGAAGTTTGACTCATTGTCCTGGCTTCAGAAGGCTGAGTTATGTGAGCTTGAGATTTTCCTTGGAGAGTCTCCTTTTTCCTAGTACTGTACCCAAGGGACCCAGTATCTTAAGTTTTCTCTCATTCTGGGTAGGCCTCTCATGGAGAGAGAGAGAGAGAGAGAGAGAGAGAGAGAGAGAGAGAGAGAGAGAGAGAGAGACTGAGTGTGCTAGCACGTGTATGTGCACAGGAGAGTAAGAGCAAGAGCTTATGTGTGTTTTGGAAGCAGGTATCTTTTGATTCCAGGCACTGAAGGGCAGTTCAGTTTCAGGCAGTGATGTGTGCCTGTCCTAAAACTGAGCAAATGAACCATTTGCCTTCACTTCACAGACATTGCCCTCCCTGCTCTCCTGCCTCATATTGGGAGGTAGTCCCCTGCTTGGGTTTGTCACCAGGTTTTAAACTCTCGTCATCCTTTTCTTGACAGTCTAGGAGTAGTTGTAACATAAGTCAAATCAGACTTGTAAAGTCCAGGAAACTGTGGTGATAAATTTTATGTTTCAACATGACTGGGCCATAGGGTACCCAGATATTTGGTCAAATGTTGTTCAAGGTGTTTTGTGGATGAGGCTAACATTTGAATCAGAAGATTGAGTAAATAAGATTGGCCTCCTTCATGTGCATGAGACTTATTTAATCATTTGAAGACCTGACCAGAGCAAAAAGACTAAGTAAGACAACTCCTCCCACTTAACTCCTTGTGATGGGACATTGGTCTTTTCCCGACTTTGGGCTCAAACCAAAATTTTGGCTCTTTAACCGGAACTTATTCCATTGGCTTTCCTGGGCCTCAGGCCTTCAGGCTTGTTCTAGAACAACACCATTGGTTTTCCTAAGTCTCTAGTTTACTAACTGCTGATCTTAGGACTTTTCAACCCCATAATTACATTAATCAATTCCTTATAATAAATCTCTTTTGGTTCTCTTTCTCTGGAGAACCGACTAATACACAAGCCTAGTTGTTTTTGTTGTTGTTGTTACTGCCAGGGGCATTTTACCACTGGGGTACATTTCTAGTCCTTTTTAAATTTTTTTGTTTTGAGATAGGGTCTCACTAAATTACTGATGCTGGCCTTGAACTTGTGATCCTCCTGTCTCAGCCTCCCAAGTTGCTTGGATTACAGGTATGTACCACCACACCTGGCCATAAGCCTAGTCTTTTATGGCCTTGCTTTCTGTTTGATCCCAAGTTTTCCAAAGTATTTCCAAACCTGTCAGTGCTTCCATGTTACTAGCTTTGTGATCTATTCTGATATGTCATCTTTACCACAAGCTAAGCAAAAGGAGAGGGACTCAGATTTTCATGAACTTGGCAGCTGTTTGGGAAACATTTCCCTCTAGGGCAAGGCACCACTCTCTGCATTCTTTCTTTTCTTTTAAATTATTTATTTATTTATTTATTGAGAGAGAGAGAGAGAGAGAGAGAGAGAGAATTTTAATATTTATTTTTTATTTTTCGGCAGACACAACATCTTTGTTTGTATGTGGTGCTGAGGATCGAACCCGGGCTGCACGCATGCCAGGCGAGCGTGCTACTGCTTGAGCCACATCCCCAGCCCACTTTCTTTTCTTTTAATATTTTTATTAGTTGTTGATGTACCTTTATTTTATTTATTTACATGCAGTGCTGAGGATCGAACCCAGTACCCCACACATGATAGGCAAGTGCTCTACCACTGAGCCATAACCCTAGCCCACCACTCTGTGCATTCTTATTGGGTTTCTTTCCTCCTAAGTCCTCTCTTTATGTGTTCCACAGGCTTTGAAAGCATTTGTGCCTGTGTTTTAGTTACTTTCTGTCACTGTAATAGATACCTGAGATAATCAACTTACAAAGAGGGAAAAGGGCCAGGTGTGGTGGTGCATGCTTGTGGACTGAGGAGGCTAAGGCAGGAAGATTACAAGTTCAAGGGCCTCACTAAGTTACTGAGACTGTCTTTGAACTTGCGAATCCTCTTGCCTCAGCCTCCTGAGCCGCTGGGATTACAGGTGTGTGCCACCAGCCTGGCTAGAATTTTTTTTTTTTCTTTAAATTATTTTTATGTTGTTGATGGACCTTTATTTATTTGTATGTGGTGCTGAGAATCAAACCCAGTGACTCATACATGCTAGACAAGCGCTCTACCCCTGAGCCACAACCCCAGCCCCCCTGGCTAGAATTTTCATTTTGAAAAGAGATCCTTGCTTTTGAAAACACTGGGAACCACTGGACTGAATGATCTCTGGAGCCATGTTTTGCTATAGTTTATAAAAAGAGGACTGGAGCTTCAGCCTGGAGCCTGTGTAAGAACTCGTTTATAGAGCAGGTAAGGTAGCACCCATGCTGGTGAAATCTCCAGAGCTGACAGAGTTCTTGTCACTCCTGTCTACATGCTCAAGGGGTTTAGTTCATGTCTTCCCAACATCTGTTATATAATCTGTTGTCTCTCTGTCTGTAAACCCTACTTTGAAACAGGATGCAGGTACCTTAGCTTTTCCTTTACCTTAAGGAAATTTAGTGTTTTTATTTTTTTTAAGTAACTATTTTTTTAAGTTGTCGATGGACCTTTATTTAATTTATTTATTTATATGTGGTGCTGAGAATTGAACCCAGTGCCTCACACATGCTAGGCAAGTGTACTACCTCTGAGCCACAACCCCAGCCCTGATGTTATTTCATTTTAAAAGGTTGTTACCATTACTAACAACAGAAAATCAAATGAACGAATAAAAATTTGCTTGTTTTAGAATTTTATTAAAGGTAAGAGGTTTTCCTGATCTTCATTGAAATTTAAATGAGGACATCTGTTTTCTGATAGTGGCTAGAACTAAGTGGTGTCAAAAGGTTCATCCAACTTAATGTTTAATTTTTAGTGGGAATTTATGTATTTCCTTTATTTTATTACTCTTTATTTAAAGTATATAATTTTTAGTTGTTGGTGGACACAATACCTTTATTTTATTTTTGTGTGGTACTGGAGGATTGAACCCAGTGCCTCATGCATGCCAGGCCAGCTCTTTACCACTGAGTCACAATTCCAGCCTGTCTTTTATTTATTTTTGTTCTTTTTATTTATTTTTTTGTGTGGTGTTGGGGACTGAACAGCACTCCCCACTGAGCTACATCCCCAGTCCTTTTTAAGTTTTTAGTTTTGAGACCAGAACTCACCAAATTGCCAAGGCTGGCCTTGAACTTGATGATCTTTTGGCCTTAACCCCCTACCCCCCAATCATTGGGATTATAGGAATGTACCACTCTGCCCAGCCTTATTACTTTAATTCTGGGGAATTATTTACTTTTTCTTCTCTTTTTCTCTATTACAGTTGGACTGTGAAGATAGTTACTAGTAGGCAATTGGATTAATTTAGTTACAGGGGAGCAGAAACTCCAGGTTATTGTCTTCCATCTCTTTGCCCTTTGCTGCTGCTGCTTCTTTTTTTTTTGGGGGGGGGGGTGCCAGGGATTGAACTCAGGGGCACTCAACCACTGAGCCACATCCCAGCCCTATTTTGTATTTTATTTAGAGACAGGGTCTCACTGAGTTGCTTAGCACCTTGTCATTGCTGAGGCTAGCTTTGAACTCCCAATCCTTCTGCCTCAGCCTCCCTAGCCGCTGGGATTACAGGCGAGTGCCACCATGCCCGGCTTTGCCCTTTGCCTTTAAATGAAAAACCTACTTAATAAAAACCAATAAATACTGTTAACAAAAGGTCAGCTTTGGTATATTCTGACCTACAATCGTTCCGTTGGTATGACAGATTGTATTACCCAAGGATGTCTATAGCAGTGTCTTTCAATCTACATGTTTTACTTAAAATGTGACTTTGACACTGTTCCCCATCTCATGAAGACTCTTCCCATCATTCAGGCCTTCATAACTTTTTCCACTAATGACATGTTAGTGGCTCCAATAATGCTATGTGATTTGGGGGCTGAGTCATAAAAATGCCATGTACTTCTGCCTGTTTCTCTTGGTACACTTGCTTCTGGAACCAGCTAGCATGCTGTGGTGTGAGGAACCCAAGCAGTCCTGAGAGGCCCGGATGGGAGACAAACTGAAAGCTTCTGTCCCTTAGCCCCATGAAGCTCCCAGCTGACATCCAGCATCTGCCTGCCAGGCACATGCATAAGCTTCTTAAAATCAGATCCCACTCCTCCAGATCCCCATGAAAGTGCCCCATGGGTGCCATGGAGAGCAGAGATGCACTGTCCCTGCCACATCCTACCCAAAATGCAGACTCAGGAGCACAGTAAAAGACTGCTTTAAGCCACTAAGTTGTATAGCAGTAGATAATTGGATTGATATTCTGTTTGCCAGAATGTTGAGATCACTCTGTGTATCAGACTGCTTTAACCCTAAAAACAAGCTGTGTTTCAGGAGCGTTGTTAGTTTTCTGAGAGGAAAAATGGATTTGATGTCCTCTTCCCTTATTTTATTTACTTACCTATTTCAGTACTGGGGATTGAACCCAGGAGTACTCTGCCACTGAGCTACATCCCCAGCCCTTTTTATTTTGTGTTTTGAGACAGGTTCTCACTGTGTTGCTTGAGCTGACCTTGAATTTGTGATTCTTCTGCCACATACTTCAGAGTTGCCAGAATTACAGTTGTGTGCCACTGTACCTGATTTCTTCCCTTTATTGATTATTATTACCTCATTGATTTGCATTTTTCATATTATATTTTGAATTGTTTACTAAAGAAAGTACAAATTGGGCAATAACACCCATGTCCAGCTAACTCCATTATTGTGTTCTAATTTAGAAGGTTATGTGTATCTTAATAGTAAGCAGTGACTTTGGATTGATTCAGGCCAGGTGTGTAGCTTTGTAAGGCAATATCCTCTTTGTAAATCAGCTTCTTGTGAAGCAATGATATCTACTTCCTAGATGATCTGTGAGTGTAAAGTGTTTAGATAGTTCCTCCCACAAGATACTGACTGTTCATTTCTACTTCTAGTCACCACTACTACTGCTGCTCCTCCTAGTGTGGGTGTTATTATTTTTGGACTAGGAAGGGAGAAGGAGAATCAGCAGAAAGGGTGCAATCTGAAATGGATTACACCCCCAGAATGAACAGCACTCCCAAGAACTTCTGCACAGGGGGATGCTGGGAAGGCTAAAGGGACTGAGGAATTAAAATAGGCGTGTTTTAGATTTCTCCAGGATTAAAGATTCTCTGAAGAAGTGAAGACCAAAATGACTCTTTGGGAGAAAAGATTAGGAAGGAGGTAATGGAGAGATTTCTAAACAAGAGTGGGGTGGACTGATGTTTGTTATTGGACCTCTTTATAGTGTTAGTATCAGGGATTTACTGATAGATTAGGCAGTGATACTGCAAGTTATTACTTGTAATTATTTTAAATGAAATATAATATACAAAAAGTATGTATGACATGTACAGTTTAAAGAATGATAATAAACCTCTTGTTCGCATTGGTCAACTTAAAAAATAATATATTTTCAATACTCGGAAGTCCTGATGTTCTTTTCTGTGGCATTCACCATTATTTTCATTACCTTGCATTTAAAAAGTTGGACGTGGTGGTAAATGTGTATAGTGCTAGCTACTTGGAAGACTGAGGCAGGAGAACAGAGTTTGAGGCAAGTCTGGGCAATTAAGCAAGACCCTATCTCAAAAAAAAAAGCGCCGGGTGGGGGGCGCATACTGATGGTGTTGCTTAGTGGTAAAGTGCCTATGTAGCATGCGTGAGGCTCAGGTTCCATCCCCAGTACCAGAAAAATAATTTAAAGAAGACCATGGGGGCTAGGGTTGTAGCTCAGTGGTAGAGCCCTTGCCTGGCATGTGTGAGGGCCTGGGTTCGATCCTCAGCACCACATATGCATAAACAAATAAAGTTAAAAATCGATTGACAACTACAAAATATTAAAAAAAAAAAAAAAAAAGATGATGATGCCAGGTGTAGTGGTGCATGCCTATAATCCCAGAAGTTTAGGAGACTGAGGCAGGAGGATCATAACTTCAAGGCCAGCCTCAGCAACTTAGTGAGACTGTGCCTCAAAATAAAAAATAAAAAGGGATGGGGATGTGGCTCAGTGGTAAAATACCTCTGGGTTCAATCACCAGTCTACCCCTCACCCTGCTAAAAATTTAAAAGGCACGGGCATGGTGGCGCATGCAGCC